AATCCAAATGGCATGGTTTGAAACTCATATAAGCCCGATGGGATCGCAAAAGCGGTCTTGCAACGGTCAGTAGGCTGTATTTTCACGTTCCAGTACCCAGAAGCTAAGTCCAGTGTAGTGAACCAGGCTGCCCCTCCTAAGGCGTTGAAAGTATCATCAATTCGGGGTAGTGGAAAAGAATCTTTTCGAGTAACGTCATTCAACTTGCGATAGTCAACACAACCGTAAAGAACCATCATGTTTCTTCACCAGGACTACCGGCGAGGCTCAAGGTGACGCGGAAGGTTTGATGATGTCCTTGCTCAGCATATCATCGATCATTTGATTTAGCTGGTGTTGATACTGAATCGGAACACGTCGTGGTGGTTGGCGGGTGGTTTAGCCTCTCCAGTGTCGATACAATGTTCGACAAACATCCGAATCCTTCCAAGCGAAAACATTGGTGTACCCCGACAGAACACTTTTTGTAGGTGACAGTCGCGACAGCAGTACGTCTACGTCGATCGACATGGTGGGACAACACTTATTGGCGGAGTAAGCAGCCGTGACGAGGGGTATTTGGTTCCCTCCTAACTCAATGGTACCTGCTAGAAGGTCGATCCTCGCCCGTTGACTTTTCAGAAAGTCTACTCCTAGTATGACGTCCCAGGGTCAGTAATCAACGACCAGCATGGGCTGGTGAATCGTTGTTTGATGTAGAGTTAGCGGTACCGTTAACCAACCCTTAGAATGGACGGGTGCACCGTTAGCAGCCATGAGTTTAAAACGGCAGTGACTGAAAGAACCCGCACCTAGGGGTAAGCTATTGCAACGGGCCGCCCCAGCATCAATCAGTATTCTACATCCCCTATCTAGGACATGTCCGTCTACGGTGAGGGGTGTCTGGTACGTACTAAAAAAATCAAAGGTGCAAGTCGGAACACACCGGAAACGAGTGAACTCTCGTGGTCCATTGTGTCCACAGGCCCGGGCGTTTGTCCCAAAGCGCTGGCAGTAGGGGCAGTCACGGTTCGGGATGGGCCATCCCGAAATGTTGGTTGGGGCTGGACGTTGAAAGGTAGGGTGAAAGTACGGTCTGTTAGGGCGCAATGGCATGGGATGGTATGGTCGTCCTCGGGCTGGTGTCTAATGTCTGCTTTGTTGTTGGTGTTGAATGTAGACGGGGGCGAGGTCATACCTCTGCAGGACGCTCAAGATGTCTTCCACCTGGTTCGCCACTTGTAGTGCCGATGCAACCGAGTGAGGAGGACTACCCAAAAACCGTTCGCGGAGTTTAGGGGCTCGGGTACCGACAATGATCTGCTCAAGGATTTTTCCTCCCGCTGTCCGTCGGTTAACTCCGGAAAAGCGTCCTCACTTATTCGCCGCAGTTCCCGGACAAAATTCCACAGTCTTTCGCCCGACAGTTGGATCCCTGACTGGAACCGATATTGATGTTCGACTGGTTGGATCCGCTCTGTCAAGCGTGCGCGGAGCCGTTCAAAGACATCTTCCGTGACCCCATCTTTCAAGAGATGTTCATCTGTCACTATATCCCGAGCTTCTCCATCCAATAAGGGAAGTAGCACACACTTTCGTTCACTGACAGGAAACAGCTGGATTTATTCTGATGTGTCAGCCGCCCACTGGGGGAGATCGAGTGTGGATGAATCCGGCGCTAATAACCGAAGACAGAAGTGAGAAAAACGATTGTAACATTCTGTAGCACAAGGGCCAAAATGAACCGCCGGATGCGACAGGTTCATCTTCAGTTTTTCCGTGGGATCGGGTACGCATCAATGATACGAATCCTGGCGTGGTCGCCAACTATGTAATATGCACGCTATGGAAGCTCCAGGGGACAGTGATTCTCCGAAGGAAGGTGTTCACGACAATTTCCATGGATGGAAAACAGAAGCAAAGCTTATGAGCCAAAGCACAGTAAGCAAGGTTGTACATCACCAATACTTGCATATGAATCAATCAAAATGACAGACACCGTATACTACACAGTGCACCCTCCGGTCTCGACGGAACGGTCGAAGGTCATACGCTACGCATCACGGACTCATAGATAGATACACAGGATCGAGGCTTGCGCCCAAGTTTCCCGGGTTAGGTTTGTTCTTGCCGTTCAGCGGGTGTCCTTTACCTGCAAAGCTCAAGTGTAAAAATGGTGTAACACTGCTCTTTGAGTTATCATCGCAGAGCAGTGTGCCTGCGAGCGCGAGGACTCACATAAGTAAGTGTCTAATAGTGCTTCGAATTTGGTTCTCGAAGGATAATGGACAACCATAGATCGAACACAGTTGAAATCAAGGCGTGAATCTCTGAGAAGTTGCCAATCCACTAGATCAACCGGAATCTCGCAAAAAAGCAAACCCAGGAAGTTCGTTTGTTTACGCTAGATTTTCTTTATAACCGTTGCAAGGTCGTGCGGGACTATGAAGATCGTCTCACCGGGATGGATGAGCGGATTAAACAAGAAAAGAAAAGCGTTACCAGTGATAATAAAATGGAAAATAAAGGAGTCGCCTTCTCTGGGGGTGAATTAACGGAGAAAGGAAAACGGAAACGTTATCTAACTGCGAAATATGACAAGAAAACCAGGATTGTAGTGAACAAAAAGATCCAACTGGAAAATTTCATATCCCAACAACTCCGGAGTCTTTATAAAACAGAAGTGAGTGTTGAAACCTGTTTATGAAAGTATGAAGCACGATGATTATGACTGCGATATCGATCTTGAGACCCTGGACGAATTACCAAGTATTGAATCTAAACGGAAATTCCTACAGGTATATGTCTAGTACCGTTAAATGTTTTATTTTCAGAACGAACTAAAGACCTGCCCCGCCACAGAATCTCAAGTTTTGGTGAGTTTATCCAAAGGCGGTGTTTTGTACCTTGTTGCCTAACGACGATGAGTTGCCCGTGTATTTATGCGAATTTGACGCTGCCTAAATGACATGGCTCATAATCTCCATAATACCATTTTTGATCCAGCTGGATGGCCTTCCATGACACAGTGCGTGATATTAGGCAGGTCGTATGCGCAACAAATACGTATTTTTGCTGTGTATCCAAACGATTGGAAACTGACGAGTTTCGACTTCCTCATGGTTCCATCATCGGTTTTTTTGGATGGCAGTGTACATAGGTGATGCGAGTATCTTAAAGAAGGTCCCAAAACAATCGGGAGTAAATAACTTCATCGTCTGTCGGAAGCAAATTCATGCATTATATTTGGTGCTAGTTTTTTTCAGTCAAAGAGGGAAATATCTGAAATATCCCACGGTTGACATAAAGTTATGCAAATGGCCACATATTCGGAATTGCGTGAAACACCTAGGTAAATATTCAATATTTTGGTTGAAAGTAAAAAAAATCCGAAAGGCAGCATTACGGACGGTGGAGAGTAGAAATGTTTGCCATTTGTACAACACCCGAACATAATACAGTTGAGAAATCGTGAGGAACTAGACAGGAATAAAAAATAAGGCACAAAACGACTGCATCAAATTACACTCCCCATTAAGTGAGGACCAGGGAGAGGGCCAATTAGTAAATATAATAGAGGATTCAACGCAGGCTTCAATTAAGTATGGAGCACTGTGACCAGAGAGGAAACGGAGAAGAAGACTGGAGAAGAAAGTACTCGTTTTGCTCTCGGGAGCTTCTGAACATATGATCAGAGACCCGTATAACAAAGCCCGTAACGTTTGCATGCATCAGCGAGGAGAAGGTTGGATTCTTATGAGGTGACAGGAACGTAGTTTATATAGCGCATCTATTTCCTGGAGGACATATAATCTTCGGGTATAACAGGCTTATCAACAGAAAAGGAGGAATCTGAAACGGAGAAGAAGACTGGAGAAGAAAGTACTCGTTTTGGTCTCCGGATCTCCTGAACATATGATCAGAGACCCGTATAACAAAGCTCGTAATGTTTGCATGCATCAGCGGGGAGAAGGTTGGATTCTTGATGAGTTGGTTATATGGATGGTAATGGGCGCTTCAGATTATGTGCATTCCCCGTAGTCTTGGAGCCACCTGAGGATAATCTGTCTCTGTCGCGTATACGAACAAAATTGTACACTGCGTAAAGCAGCAGGGCTGCACAGTACATGCTTGGTTGAACAATGATTATCTACATACCAAATGGATGGCGAATGAACTTCCAGAAACATGCATGGAGCACAGCGTTGAAACCTAGCACCTCGTGGGGTTCCGGAGCCTGAAACTTGATACACCCCGATATGAACAGGCCATCTGAGAAAGACCTAAACTATGTAAGCCTCAAAATCAACCGCACCCGGGTCCTGGATGTGACATTCGCTTTGTTTACTGAGTATCTTTACGTGACTACTGCTAGAAAACGGAGCATCAGTCCAGTTCCTGCGAACCAAAAGTAACTATTGTGAACTGGAAGAAATTAAACCTCCAATCGCCCATATCAGTCCTGAGTTTGGAGAATTGTCACACGCAAAAAGATGTCGCACCATACTTATTCACACAGTGAATAAACTGTATAGATCCGGCTTGTGTGGACGTAACAGTCTGACATCAAAGAGCGACCAAACTTTGACGCCATGTATCTAAGTGTGCAAGCGTTTTATATAAGTAGAAACCAACATAAGCCGAATGAAGACAAACTAATAAATCCCGGTGGTTTCTCCACTACTCAAAAGGTTATTGAATATGTGGAATAATTTACCTACTGATACTAGAAAAATGCGAGAAGTCAGCAGACGTATATTTATGGTATGGCCTTTCCATGTTAGAAGGGCCATCCGCCATCGGGTAATATCAAACTACGTGTTACTTTCCCGTCCCTCTTGATAATAGCTTTCATGAATTAAAGCAACTGGCAGGTAGTTAACAGCGTTACAAAGCCTAAGAAGGAATCGGTTGTTGATTTGTTTTATTTTAAGCTTGGTTGGCTAAATACGAACCGAATGTTTCTTTTGATGGTGTCTTTAATGTTGAACTGAGTCCTGTGGGAACGGCAATGCCTGGGGTTTTATCAACCCTACCAAACTTGGTTTGCAAAATGCCGAGACGTTAAAATTTTCCTCTGTTGAGTTGTGAACTTACGTTTTAGCTGCTTGAAATTTGAGTATGCAAAGGTTGCTGTATACCAGTAAGGACACTGAATGAGTGTAATGACTTGGAATGGGTTTTGAATTTGGCACTTTTCGAGACGTTTTGTAACCGTCATTGATGTATAGGACAACAATGTAGCACAAGTACTTATTTCCAAAGGCGCAATACACTCCATTTATGTTGATAACCTTACTTAATAACTTACCGCTGAACGGTTTTCTAGTGGATATCACTTTAACTGCATCAGATTTCTAAAACTAACTTCATCTCAAACGAGCGCACGACAAGCGGTATAATTTGTGTGTTTGCTACTATGGCATACCGAAATCTCGTAATGGTCCAAAGTGTCCAATAAATCGCAGGGTGGAATAAAATTCAGGTAGATTATTAACAAAGTGATTTTGGTAACATATTAATCAAACCTGCCAAGTTTTAATGTGACTGCTTACAACTGAAGAAGGGTGTATGCATTGAATGACACATTAGAAACTTTGTGAAGAAATATAAGTAGTTAAGTTAGACATGAGGCCATAAACATCATGAGTTTTGCACAAAACATTCGTTTAGATGGATATGAGGTACGGATTGGCATTCAAACAAGCAGTGAAGTGGACAAGTACCCAACGTTGCATCAAACTCGGTAACAAAATAAACGGTACTGCTGCGGTTAATATCAAATTTACAAGTTGTTCATGCTGGATGAGGGAGAATTCTATCGTTACTCATAATAACAATATTTACTTTCCGTTCACGGCACGCGGTGGCATAATTGCTTGTAATCAGAGGCTTTTTTAGTGTTTATATGGAAGATAAAGTTGGCGGAAAATGTGTCACACATGGCAATGTGCGAAATGTGATATTAGCTCGTAATGTTCCTGTGGTACTGGTATCGTTCACAGACCACAAACCAGTTTTGTTTCAGTTTCTGCCGGCACCTCAGTGGTTGCAAAATTTTAGGTATTGGTGTCATTTAATATAGAGGCCGCAGAAGCATGCAGATGCAAGAAAGTTCCGGAGCATCCCTTGCTGCTCTTGAAAGCCAGAGCGTTCGTGGCTTGTTCGCTGAGCTGGGCAATTGGACTGCAAACGTTTGATCACCAATCGAGTTGACATCGGCTGTGCATTACTGGGGGCGTAGTGGTGCGTAGCGGTATTCCACCGCTACCAACAATTTTCTCACTAGAGCGTTCGTGCCTCCTTTTTACTGTCAGCTTTAAATAAATTGTAACAGGGAGAAAATAGTTAAAGTTGATTTATAGATACTTTACCGGGATAGCTTAGTGGTTAAGGCGCCAGTTTACATACCAGAAGGTCCGTTATTCAAACCTTAACATCTTGACTGCTCCTGTTTGGACTTGGGCAACCTGGCAATGTCCCATCCTTGTTGCCTTCTTCCGTTAACTTGGCAAGTAGGCACCAAAAGAGTGCTACAAGTGAACGACCTGATATTTTGACACTTATTTACGAAGGAATTGGCCCCACACTTGGTCGTCTGCAGCTGTTGTCGGGAGCAACACTCCGTTTGGAACCGCCTTGGCGATGTTTTAACAAACCATTTCTGGGAATAAAATCATAAAATGTGCCATCAGCAACCTTATCAAGCTTTTGGTGGCATCTTTTTACTCACACTTTGAAGAAGCTTTACGACAAACAAAAGGCATTCAGTAACATCTTCGGTGTGAATGGAACTTGAGCGAATAGGAAGTTTACTGTACTATCACTGTTGCTATAAAAAGGTTGTAAACGATTTCTAAATGTATTAAACATTACCAAGTAAACTTTGGGTGAACTGTCAGTAACTATTCAGCAAGAGCACCACAAAACTCCCGTAAGTTGCACACAACGCGATTAGTACTGTTTAGGTGATATACTACTTCCTCACACGCTATGGTTTTTGTTTCCCCCTGACTTCTGGAGAACGTTTAGGCTGCTGTTAGAGTAATCAAGAGTGGAGGTACTTTTTCTTATAGGACTAAGTAGATTGCACTTTAACTCAGAAGGTAAAACATCGGTGATAAACAAATACGCAAAATAGATACGACAGAGTTTTTCAAGCTTCTTTGTGAGCCAAAAATATCTTGAGTAAAACCCAGGTGAATATGGGAATAAAAAATGAACTCATATATTAGGATGAAATTTCAACCAGTGTTCTACAAACCTACACTTAAATTTATTTTCTTTCCAGGAGACTTTCAGTGTAAACCTTGCAACAATGTGTGTAAATGTACTTGTCTTCATAATGGTTTGGGAGCTTCCTAATAATTGCATGGATAAGTGCCATCAGATTTGCAGATCATTGCCGCTTTATTCCAGAGAACGAGACGCACAAGATAAATGAAATTTCCGTGAATGCCATAACAAAGACTGTCTTCAACATAACGAAGCTTTCGTAAATTGGCGGACGATCACTGCTAACTTTGCAGCATAAACGTTTATTATACTTAATTAGGACATGAAACGCAGGTACTTTGACGATTTTCGCCCCACCGGTCTACCGATTAACACCAATAAGGGTCATAAAACGCTTGGCGCCATAGGGATGGTTAAACGTTGCTCACGTGACATCTGGTGGTAACATGCACGGGATCGTTTACCCATTAACCAAGTTGTCTGGATGGAATAATCTATTTCATGACTCATGTTTTCGACGGAATTGAATCAACATGCACTTTTTTAAGTTTTGGTACCGGCGAAAAACCCAGTCTTTCCAATGGTGTATCTGTCTGCTTGTACTGTGTCCATAAATTCAAGTAATGCTTACATAATTCACGCTACTTGTAACAACAAGCCGGACGATCGCGTTTCAACCGCA